CCACACATACTAAATTAAAATTATCTTATAGTGCCACCAACTTATCTGTTCAGATGGACAAAAAAAAGGTGCAAATAAAATGCCTAAAGCTCTTAAAAGTGATTCGCGACAGATTATCCTGAAAGTTTTATCTTTTATGAAAGTAGAGAAACGTGTACAAGCCCCAACTATACCATTTGAAAAGCTGTACGAACGCGTTGCTGCTGCGACAGGTTTGTATTGCCAGATATGAAAAATTACAATCACTAAATAATGTACTTGTGAAACATAGTAAAAAAAATTATCTCAATTTACTGTAAAACTGTTGGAAAATCTAATGTTCTAATGCCCCAATCAATTGAAGATGCATTCCATAAAATTACACCGATGTAGTGGAAAAACATATGTAATTATGTGAAAAAAACATTGAAAATGAATACAGACTAAAATAAGCGTATTTAGATGAACTCTTTATTACAGAGTGTCAGAGCGATAGCGAAAGTGACTCCAGGGACTCAGAAGACGAATTATTGGAACCAGTAGCTAACGTGGGTACATAATTCAAAACAGGAATTCCTGGAGTTCTGCCGCTTGAACTCCATGATCACAACCACAATTATGTTTATAAAATATAAATAATATATATATATATATATATATATATATATATATATATATATATATATATATATAATAACACTAATTTTAATATATTAACACGAAATTTGTTTTATTTTATGTGCAATGAATATGTAGTCACCTATTTCCTCGGTAAATTTCTTAAATGGCAATAGTAAGCACTCCACTAACGACTCTGTCAACTGAACAGAAAAGTTGGTCCTTGGTAAATTTCTTAAATGGCAATAGTAAGCACTCCACTGGCGACTCTGTCAACTGAACAGATAAGTTGGTGGCACTGTACCTACTTATTTTTTGCGATGGTATTCGCTTGATAGGTTTAACGTCCGATTATGAGGCATATTTCTAATAATTGAAAAAAATTACCGCTAGTAAGCATAATACGTAAATGCGCACGCAACAACTTTATTAGTAAAAACAAACTACATGAGGCAAGATATTTGAAGTTAATGTTAATCTAATAGTTATATTAGAATAAAGAAAATTAGTAGAAACAAATTCCGTGTTATTTTCTCATTAGTTAAATTTTTATCGTATCGTGCAAACGTACGCAAGTTACGTTCTAGCGACCTGTCAACCTGTCATTCGCACCATACTACAACGCAAAGACTATAAGTTTTAAGCAAAAAAGCGTTTATTTTAAATTTTGTGTATTATATGTCTGTGTAATGTGCAGTTAAAAGTGAAATACAGTTTGCTTAATACAAACCTAAAAATTTAATGAATTACGGATAATTTTCGATTAGCGACCACTATTTAGTCTTGTGTTGATCTTAATTATTACTCTTAACTACTTATGTTCTCATATAAGCAAAGTATCAAGCACAAAATATCTCGGAATACTATTGTACCAGCATTTATCCTGGCATCTATATACTTATCGAACTTCCAATGAGAAGGTAATATTGAAAATTCATATGGATTTTCAAAATTTTAAGACATCTCGCAACAACACAAATATTAAAACACCTATATTTATTAAGTTCAATTAGTTCTGCTATATTGCATCAGTATGGGATTTTGCTACAAAAACAAAACTTTTGGATTTAGAGAGAGTACAAAAATCATTACTATTCTATTCTACTTATAAATTTCTATTAAAGCATATAAAAGTCCACTGCTGAACATAGGCCTTCCTCGTAGATTGCCTCATAGGGGGGAATTTGCTATAGTTTCCACGGTTGGCAGGCGGGTTGGCAAACGCAGTTTTTCATTTTTATTCAACTGTTATCAAGAAGATGCTGCTGTCCTTCTTCTGTTTTAGTTTCACTCTGTCAACTCTTACGACAACCACGGGACGTTATGGGGTAGTGGGTATTCTTACACCGCTACGACATGGTTAAATCATTACTAAAGGTTATGAATTCCCAACACAAAATTTATAAACCCTGTTCTTACAGTGCGCAAGTTATATATGTTAAATATCGTTCTTACGCTACACAAGTCCCTTGCATATTACTTTGAATTTAAAAATAAAAGGAGTAAAACAAGCGTAGCTCCAAGTGCTCCTGTAAAAACAGCACCAGCGCCCTTGAAAAGAAGTATAATTCCGTCTCCAGGTCTTTCAAAAAAGTCATTGCTAAAGCAAAGTCAGAGTACATCAGCAGAATTGGCGAGAAACTAGTTCGCGTTCCTTCAGGAACCCGTGCATTCACCAAAATTCTCTCACCAAAGCTGTCCAAAGGAACTTTTGTCAGCCATGTCTTCCATCTCTGCACAGGGAAGACGACTCACTGGCCTATGCCGCAAAGGAGAAAGCTGATCTGCTAGACTCTTTTTTTGCGTACAACTCGACTCGATGGGGGTAGGGGGAAGCAAACCTCCGACCATCCGGCGGTTTGAGTGCTCCATGCCGAATGTGCAGTTCACACAGCACTCGGTTCGCAAAGCACTTCTCTCCCTGGACATCCACAAGTCGAGTAGGCCTGACGGAATCCTCCCAATTGTGCTAAGGACGTGTGTTCCAGTGTTTGCACCGGTTCTAACGCGTCTGTTCCGGTTCTCCTACTTCCTAGGCGTAGTCCCGAATTCATGGAAGACAGCTTTCGTCCATCCGATCCCTAAAAAAGATGTCCGCTCTAACTACAGGCCAATCGCCTTCATCTCCTTGTTCTCCAAAATAATGGAATCGACCATCTACTACGATCGATATTACAAGGCTATTAACGCTAGTGTTCCACAAGGCTGCGTGCTATCACCAATATTGTTTCTTCTGTATATCGATGATATGTTGCAAACCGGTAACATTCATTGCTATGCGACTGACAGCACTGATGCCGTGCCAATATTTCTCGGGAAAACATAACCGAGTACCGGAACAAACTTGTATCTGAAGTCGAATCTTTACTGAATAGAGTCTCAGATTGAGGGCGACTCAATTTGGTCCAGTTTAATCCTCAGAAGACATAAGTTTGCGCGTTTACCGCTGAAAAGAACCCCTTTGTCGTATCTCCTCAGTTTCAAGACACTCCCCTTCTTGCCTCAGCCAGTATCGGAATCCTCGGAGTCGACATATCGAGTGACGTGCAGTTTCGTGGTCACTTGGAAGAGAAGGCCAAATTGGCCTCCAAAAAGCTTGGCGTGCTCGGCAGAGCGGGACAGTATTTCATGCCGGCACACCGCCTGCAACTTTACAAGGCGCAGGTTCGGCCTCACATGGAATACTGTTCCCATCTCTGGGCAGGGGCTCCCCAGTGCCAGCTCCTTCCACTTGACCGCATCCAGCGCAGAGCGGCTCGAATCGTCGACGACAGAGTACTTTCCGATCAGCTCGATTCATTGGCACTGCGAAGAGATGTTGCATCCCTTTGCATTTTCTTTCGCATCTACCACGGGGAGTGCTCCGAGGAATTGTTTGGATTAATCCCAGCCGCCAAATTTCACGAACGCACATCGCGGCAGAACTCCCGATACCATCCACACCATCTGGATGATTGGCGGTCCACCACTGTGCGATTTAGAAGATGTTTTCTTCCTCGCACGACTTCCTTGTGGAATCGATTACCATCAGCGATTTTTCCGGACCGATACGACTTAGGGACCTTCAAAAAAAGAGCGTACTCCTTTTTAAAAGGCCGGCAACGCATCTGCGATTCCCTCCCTCCCTGGTGTTGCAGCTGTTCATGGGCGGCGGTAATCACTTACCATCAGGTGAGCCGCATGCTCGTATGCCCCCTCTCCTATAAAAAAAACCTCTGCAAATCCCAGCATTTTTATCCGTAATCGTCACTACGATGATACAATCACGGACAAAAATTGTAATTAGCAAACGATCATTTGTCTTGAAACGAGTAATTAATCACTAAGAAAAAAAAATGGTTTAGGTGTTATTCTCATATGAACCCCAGTTCGGTTTCTATCCAGATTCACAAAGAGTACGTATTTCTCGAACACCTGAATTAAGAGCCGCCTCAATCCATACCAAGATGGAACAATCATGGTATGGGCGGGAATACACCTTAATCGAAGAACTGACCTCGTTTGGTTACACGGTAATTAAACTCCTGCAAAATACTGTGACTAGGTACTGGAAATTGTATTCCGCCCGCACCGGTTATATTATGCATGATAATACCCACCCACATGCGGCTCGAGTGGCTACACCAACATACTGTGGCGTCCCGGCCCGCTAAGTCCCCAGATTTAAATCCGTTTTAGCATGCATCGAATATGCTTCCACGAAAGGTTTTAGGAAATTTGCCCAAAAATCTGGTAATAGAAAGTGAAACACTATATCTCATTTTAGCACAAGATTAACTTTTTAAATTATACTTCAAAGCTATTTTTCTTCAAGTAACAATTTTTTTTTATTTTAATGTTGTTTTAGAGTTACTACGCTTTTTCAGATACGGATATTTCAAGAAATGAATAATTGTATTAATAAATAGTTAAAAGTTAAAGTTACAGCCTATATACGTCCCACTGCTGGGCACGGGCCTCCTCTCATTTCTGAGAGGGTTTTAGGATAAGGAAGGTCCGCCGCGCCGCCCTAATGCGTGTTGGCGTACTTCACATGTCTTGGAAATATTTTTTTCTTATTTCTCAGACAGGCAGGTTTCCTCACGATGATTTCCTTCACCGCTAAGCATGTGGTAAATCAGCGTTTAAAATTGCAATTAGTCATTGGTGCTAGCGGGGATCGAACCCGGGTTGCTCGTATATTGTGAAATTTACAGCGAGCGCTTAACCCCTGAGCTTGTATTAATAGTTTATTTTTAATACATTAATAACTAAATAATAAGATTGAGTTAATGTGTTTATTTCGATGTCTACTAATGAGTAATTCAAATTTACTAGATAAAACAATAGGTTGACATAACTTTATTTAATTATATTATTTCCAAAATGTATATTTAAATAAAATATTATCATCCTTTTAACAGAAACATGGATCTCGCATGAAATGTTCTGCGTGCAAGATTGTCGCTCACACAGCATGTATCGACATCCTTATGGACAGGATGCAGTTTACTTGCAAACCAACATTCCGTGATGTGGGCGTACGTCAATATCGTGAACAGACCCTCACACATCATCACTGGGTTCATAGACGATCGGAAAAGGGCAAGTGTAAAGCTTGCGGCAAGGTAAGTAGCGTTTAGCAGACGTACATGCTATGCTCTTTATAACATACTCGTTTTAATTTATGCTTGTGTGTGCGTTCGCTATAATATGTTCACTCAGCTTGTGTGCAATTAGAAATTTAAGTATTATCCAATGACTAAAATATTCTAAATATTTGTATTAACTTTTTGCTAACCCGTCACATTTTTCTATTATTTTTTTTATAGGATAAGGGTGACAAACGAGCACACAGTCCACTTGATGGTAAGTGGTTGCTGCGGCCCATAGACATCTACATCTATCCTTCATTCAACACAAATCCACAAATCAAAATGTAGAATTGTTCTTAAATAGCAACAATATTCATATCTTATGTATTACTGAACATTGGTTAAAAGCTTATAATTTAATGTTTAACTTCAGTAATCACCAGGTGGTCAGTTCTTTCAATAGAGATACGGTTTTAAGAGGTGGCTCCTTAATATTAGCTAGTAAATTATTATCATATAAAGAACGTAAAGACATTGTGAGCCTCTCTGTTGAGCGAACTGTAGAAATGGCATGTGTTGAGTTTGAGCACCTCATTGTTGTGAGCGTCTACAGACCCCCATGTTGTACATATGATACTTTTGAAAACATTATGGAGGAAGTTTTTGCTAAGCTTAAACAGAATAAATCTGTTGTAATATGTGGAGACTTTAATATCAATCTCCTAGAAGCTTCCTCCATCAATATTAAATTTAGATCATTGTTTAAATCATATGGTCTTTTTAATTTATTTATAGAGCCAACGCGTATTTCTCAATCTAGTGCAACATGTATAGATAACATTTTTACAAATGTGAAGCCGTTGCATAAATGTATAATTCAAAAATTAAGTTCTGATCACTGTGGACAAGTAGTTTCGTTACCTTATGTTCACAAAAAGCAAGTAGATGAGAAAGTTGTGTCTGTTCCAGTAAATGCACGTCGCTTGGAGAAATTTAGAAGTAACATAGTGAAAAAACTTCCATCACTTTCATACCAAAATGATCCTAATTTTTTGTATGGAACATTATTTAAGCTTATTTGCAATGAATTTAATAATACTTTTACTTCTAAAACATTCTCCTTGAACAGTCGGAAGTCATTCAATGAATGGGCGACAGTAGGAGTCCATAAGAGCAGGCATAGGTTATATGATCTTTACCATGAAAGGTCATATAATCATAGCGTCGAATTTAGGGAATATGTAAAAAAATATTCAAAAATATTTAAAAGAGTGTGCTCCATAGCCAAGTCTTTGCATTTGAGCAACAAAATTAAGACGGCTTCCAATAAAATTAAAATGACATGGAGTATAATTAATAGCGAAACTGGTAAGATCAACTCTCGCAATTCAAATTACCAGTTAAGTGTTAACAATAAATTAACTGTATCAGATCAGGACGTAGCAATGGTTTTTGAGAAATATTTTACTGATATTCCGATCTTGACCACTAAGTCACTGAATTCTTCTCCTGCCGTCGCCGAATCATTACTTAAACAAAATGTAAATGTGTGTACAAAGAATTTTACATTTCATAAAGTGTCATCAAAAGATATTGTAAAATATTTTAAAACTATTGATGTTAAGAAAACTGCGGATCTGTGGGGGATTTCCGTTAAAGTTATTGCGTCTATAATAGATACAATCGCGCCTCATTTAGCTATTATTTTTAATACTAGTATCGAATCTGGTGTGTTTCCTGATTTAATGAAGCATAGTAAAGTAATACCTTTATTTAAATCTGGTAGTACATTAGACCCCGCCAATTTTAGACCTATTTCTGTACTACCAACACTTAGTAAGATTTTTGAAAAAATTGTTCTTGTTCAAATGTTAAATTTTTTTAATATAAATAATTTACTTCATAAAAATCAATTTGGTTTCACAAGGGGTCGCTCGACAACTGATGCCGGTGTTGAGCTGATTAAATATATCTTTAATGCATGGGAGAATTCACAGGATGCTTTGGGTATATTTTGTGACCTATCCAAGGCCTTCGATTGTGTTCACCATGAAACATTAATCAGGAAACTTCAACACTACGGTGTAAGAAGTGATGCCCTTAAATTAATTATTTCATATTTAAGTAAGAGAACGCAAAAAGTTGTCATTAACAATATGAGCTCTTCCGGATCGATGGTACAAATGGGCGTGCCTCAAGGCTCAATTCTCGGCCCCTTTCTGTTTCTTGTATACATTAATGACTTACCTTACATAGTAGGGGATAACCATGATATAGTATTATTTGCAGATGACACTTCTTTAATTTTCAAATTAAGTCGACAGTTACTAAAATATGACGAAGTAAATAATGCTATCTCTAAATTAGTAAACTGGTTCGATGTTAATAATTTGCATTTAAATGGCACTAAAACAAAATGTATGAAATTCGTGACTCCAAATGTCAAACAATTAAATACTAATGTAATTTTAAATGGGGAGAAACTGAGTCTTGTAGATACCACCATTTTTCTTGGAATCACACTAGACGCGAAGCTTCAATGGAGCCCCCATATATCAAAACTAGCAAGCAGACTTAGTTCTGCAGCATATGCTGTAAAAAAGATTAGAAGTTTAACCAGTGTTGAAACAGCTAGACTAGTTTACTTCAGCTACTTCCATAGCATGATGTCGTATGGTATTTTGCTATGGGGACACGCAGCTGACACTGAAATTATATTTGTTTTGCAGAAGAGGGCCATAAGAGCAATTTATGATTTAAAGCCTAAAGAGTCGCTGCGACAAAAATTTAAGGAAATTAATATATTAACTTTGGCCTCTCAATACATTTATGAAAATGTAATGTACGTATACAAAAATAAAAGTAGTTTTACAAAAATAAGTGATATTCATTCTGTAAATACTAGGAACAGACACAAGCTAGTAGTACCAGTTACTCGACTCCATCGAGTCAGTAATTCATTCTTGGGGCGATGTATACGCTTTTACAACAAAATTCCAGAAAATATACAAAGTTTGACCTGTTCAAAGTTCAAAAACTTTATTAAACTAAGTTTGTATAAAAAGGGTTATTATAATATTAAGGAATTTATGGATGATAATAACCCCTGGAAATGAGGTGATCGCTACCAAGCTATTTCTAATTTGTTGTGTTGTTAATTTGTGTAACATCATGATTGTAAGCTGTTATTTAAAAAAAAAAGTCCCGCTGGGTTTCTTGCTGGTTCTTCCCAGGGCAGAGGTTTTTTCCGAACCAGTGGTAATCAAACAAAAGAGTGACTTTCAATAAGAATTATTTATAATCTATATTGAATAAAAAAGTAAAAAAAAAAAAAAAGATGCGTTGTCACCCGTGGGGACCAAGATGGAATGCCTCATTTCCAATAAAAAGGGCCTCCGGCCACCTGCACTCACCAAGCGAAACGCAGAGGTAAACCTCTACTTCACGATGGTTTTCTGTGAGGTCGTGGTACCACCCCGGTTCGAGCCGGCCCAATTTATTTTATACCATTATGTGCTGTTCCCAGCGACTTCTCCCGCGTGTTATTTGGTTTTTAATTTTTTTGCGCGGAACTCTAATTCTTTTTCTAAAATAAAAGTAGCCTAAGTTACTCCTTGTGATATCAGCTCTCTACCAGTGAAAATCCCATCAAAATCGGTCCAGCCGTTTCGGAAATTAAAAAATGTACTTTTGTTATTAGTACCGTATATATACTTTCATATGTATTTAGTAAAAAGCTGTAATTTTGACATTACAAACAGATACTTCAATTTTATTTATTTGTATAGATAACCTGCCTTACAACTTAATCACCCTTTTCTCATGTCATGGCAAACTGACGTTTTTGTTGCTTTAATAAAACCCTCTTATGCCACCTATTAAAACACTTGCGACATAGGTAATAAAAATAATATCATTTTGATTGACACTCCTGAACGTACTCATAAAATGATGCTAACAAATTTTGTTTATCGTTTTAACGTTATGAATTACTTATAGAAACGAACGACATGTCGTAAGTCTCTCTCCCTTCTCTGGCCCATTCTAACGCCCACGTTTGCTTTTGTTGTCAAATATTTTGTATTAGCATCGCATGGAACACGACACGTGCCACCTCCTGCGCGAAATAAGAAATTCATTTTAATCACATGTTAGCATACCGCACGCAAGCGCACGCATAATTAAGTGTTGATAGGCTTTTGTTGAGTCAGTGTGTTTCCAATTTTATTGTAGGTAGTTTTTATTTCTACCATTTTGTGTCTAGTTATCTATTTTTATTGGCTTAATATATAGGGTTATTTTTCAAAGAGTAGCCAAATTTTCACCTTAAGTTCAAATATTATAAATAACGATATACCGTTGTTGCAGTATTTTCAAAATACGAGTAAATAAGTAAGGCTTAAGTATACTTTTATTTGAAATTATCTCAAATTAAATGTGATTTATGGGCAACAACGTTTTTGCCTACCGATCAACCCTTACACAGTAAAATCAGTTAAAATAATGAATTACTACGCATTTTGAATTTAAGAGATAAAAAGGACAAAATTGTTGAGATATTTTTTTGAGATATTCTCTGTAAATTTGGCCTGTTCTTGCAAAATAACCCTGTACAGGTATATATATTGCCGAAGTAAGTAATAGCTACATTTATGTTTTTTTTTCTGGAATTAAGTTACATAGATATCAAATAAACCAAAGAATATGTATTTTTATATTTTATTATATGTCCTAGAAGATTTACCTTTTATAACACCAATGTCACCAAAAATGAGGTTTTAATGGTTACGAAAATATTTACTACTAATGTCAAAGATAATGGCAGGTTCTCTCATTTTACCTAAGACGTATTAGCATTATTCCCCGATACGGAACTGATTGTTTTTTTGCGAGAAAATCTGCGCACACAAAAACAATCATCCATCACTATGAAACTCATACATATCAATATCAATTAAAACACTAAACTAACAATTTCACACACACATAGATACATTATAAACAGTATCGCTCGGTGATAGCAACAACTCTGATACAGTCTCGGATTAGTCGAACGATCGATCTGCATATTGTATGAAGGCGAGTGGCCTGTGTTGGTAAACAAATTCGAAACAAAATGACCGTTATTATTGTAATTTTTATGTTTAAAAAGAAGTAAATAGCAATAATGTGATTAAAATTTACGTTTCTATGCCTACTACGGCACTGTATATAGTTAAATGTCTATAGTATGACGCTAATTAAATTTTATTTTTGTAGAATATTGTACCTACTTTCAAAATTTGATTAATTAATAATGAAATTTTGGTGACTTTATGTTCTAATTTGCGTGTAGATTGTATTTGTTTATCGCCTCATGCCTAGCTTAGTCATAACCTCTATTAGACATTCAAATGATATGTTTTCTAAAGAAACACTGTAATAATAAATGTGTGTGCTTATGTACGCAGGTAGGAAGTTATACTTCATTAGCGTAACAAAACAAAAAAAAACTTAAGAGACGCGTAATTAAGCCACTGCTATTTCTTAACATTTAGATAAAATGACTAGGAGCAAAGTCTAGAAAGTACGCGGGATACATATCATTGAGAGGTTTCATTAAACGACCCAAGACAATATCTTTGTTAGAAGTATAGTCTTTTTCACAAAAATGAAACTTCGTGATTTCTTTTTAATATACCTCTCACTAAATTATGATTGAAGTAAGATTATGACTCCTTTAAACTTTTCCTACAAGTTGTGAGGGTTCTTAAGAGTTGCGAGCATGTTATACTTACTACACATTTTGTTTGTAGTGCTCTTCAATTGTAAAGTTTCATGCGTAAAGATCCTATTTTCTGAGCCTTACATGAGCGAATCCGGACAGCAAGTGTTTTGATCGATCGACTTACTTAAGCTGCCGGAACTAATTTACATAACCCACCTAATCGTATCTAACTTCAGTTGTGTTTAAAAATTTGCGAGAGAGTCCTAGCGATAATCTTTATTTCACGCGACATATTTTTTTGTTTCCTAATAGATTTTATTAATAACGTCAGGGGGTCGAACCCAATATTTTATGGTCTTTGACAGAGGAGCTGTTAGTGTGTGCAATTGACAACAGTTAGTAATTGACTCATTAACTTTAAGCAAAGCATTACCGCCATTCTGTTTTCTTTGACGACGCACTCTATAATGTAATGTAACAATCAATAAAAAAATTAAGTGAAATGACGGAAAATCGATCTTTCTATAATCGATTCTTACATACTAAACGAATTAAAAATGAACAATTGAACGAATTAAAACAATTTTTAATTTTAGTTTAAAAAAAAAGGAACATTTTAAATTGTAACATTATTTATGGCCAAACTCACTTATATATTTATTTTTAATTTTTATAGGTTATTATTTAGTTTAAAATATTTTTGCATGTTTGTTGCATGATTGTTCTGTTGTCACAGTCATTCCGGCGCAGTTGCTGTGAGTGGTGCGTAACAAAACAATCTTCTGTAGACAAGGCTATGGAAGTAACCAATGACAATACTGATCGTGTGCGTATACTTGATGTGTTGCCACCAACTGCAAACACATTTGTTGCTTTGCTTGTTTTTCATTTTTAATTTATTTTTTACGAGTGGTATACAAATATTTCATATGCATTTAATATGAAGTGAATAAAATTATAATATTCATATAAGCCAAACTAAATGTTTGTTTGCAGTCACTACAAGCGAAGTTATCCTTCAGCTCGAAAGAAATTGTAGCATTAAGTTGCTCATGGTGCAAAGGTGCATATCACAATAAAGAAAGCTGTTTTAATCTGCAAAGAATAGGAGAAGAATGCTCACTAGGTGAGACTGTAATTCCAAAATACAAAGTGTGTTTGTTTACTAAGAATTTTGATTTCATTTACTCTAACTGTTTTAGGTTCTCAATCTAATATAATCGTTCCACCATCATGGATTGTAAAACTACCACGACGGGGTAGTTTTAAATCATCATTAAGGAAATCGCCTAAAAAGAAAAACGTTTCAAAGAAAAAAGCAAAGGATTCGAAAAGTGAAAATAAGCCGTTTGTTATAAAACCAATACCTACGTCAAATGTCAAACCAGTCCTTGTCTTCATAAACCCAAAAAGTGGAGGAAACCAAGGTGTTAAACTATTACAGAAATTTCAATGGCTGCTGAATCCTCGACAGGTCTTTGATCTTACTCAAGGAGGACCAGGGCCAGGGTAATTGATATTATACAATTTTTGAATTCCTATCTTCTTGTAGTACCAAAACTAAAATGTTACGTCTCGCATACAATGATAATGATGCAGAAATATTTAAATTTTTCATCATTATATCCTTTATCTGATATAAACAGAGAAACAGATCGATTAAAATCCCTAGAGCAAGCTACAGTCTTCTACCGTTTAATAGAACAATTTCAAAGATTGTTTAGCTAATGGGAATTGGAAGCCTATTGGCGTCATCCATAAACTGTCTCCAAAGCTCTTTCAACATTTATCAATTTAAATTATTCGACGCGATTTCGCGTATTAATCTAAACTTTCGTTATTGTTATATATACACACGATGTAATAAATTGTGTTTTTTTTTAGTTATGCTTGTGCTTCTAAAAGTATAAAATGTGAATAAAAATGTTTTATTCTAAAAATGATGTATTGCTTAGATCTCAAATTAAATTTTCTATTTTTCTCCTGAACGACATTTGATTATGAGATATATTAGCTTTTTCTTTTATTTGTATATTAAACTAATCTGAATTTTGTAAGACTTGATATTAATCTCAAAAATTTATAAAACAATAAGAATAATCAAATACTAGGGGTGCCTTAGTTAATTTTTTTATCAGATTATATGACAAGAAAATAAAACTTTATGAGCAAAATGTGAAATGAAAAGCGTTATTCAAAACACGTACAAGAGTTATGGTAGCTCAAGGGTAGTGTTTGCCAGAACAAGGGCAGTGTTTGTATTAATTGTCAGCTGATTTACCACGAGCTCAGTGCTGAAGGTAAACATCGTGAGAATATCTGCATGTCTCAGAAATTAAAAAAAAATAGCGCTGTGGACACCTTACCTTGTCCAAAAAAGCAAGAAAAAAAGCTTTGAGTAATAACAGAAGTTCTCTATGCAGCTGTGGAACAAATATAGGCTGTAACTAACTTTTCAAAACATCACAATAAGAAGTACTTCATTGTTACTTACTTCGGTTTGATTACGTAATTCAAGTTTTATGACTTTTTATACAGGTTAGAGATGTTCCGTAAAGTCCCAAATCTGCGTGTGTTGGCTTGTGGAGGAGACGGAACGGTGGGCTGGGTCCTGAGCGTGCTAGACCGAATCGGTTCGCGGCCGGCAGTTGGTGTTTTACCACTAGGAACCGGCAATGACCTTGCTAGAGCACTCGGTTGGGGTGGGGTAATGTATTTACAATTATTTTCCTAAAGTTTTTTTTTTAAATTTATTAAGCATAATTATGTTGTACAATACTAGCATATAAACCTCTAGGGGCTTATCTACACTAGAGAGTCGTCTTATAAAAACAAAGATGTATTAATATTAAATCACAATCATCCAGTATGAAGTACTTACTACAATAAGTATGGTTGATTTATCAAATATGATTTAAGTTTACTTTTAAACAGTTTTGATTTACCGTATGTGTTTTGTAATTCTAGTGGCAAGGCATTAATAAAAGTAGGTACAAGATGGGCCAACTTTCTTGCTCCATAGAAATTTTTAGTTTTCGGAAGTACATACATGTTGTATTTATAAGCTATATTTCGTAGATTTACAGGTCGTTTTCTAAGAAATAGGTATTCTGAATTATTTACTTCAGTCAGTATATTAAATTTAACTTTATCGAAAACATTTATGACTTTGCAATAATTAAAAAGACCCCGGTCATTATCTATATACTTATTTTTAATGTGCTTAGGTACTATCAATCTAAGCATTTTGCGTTGTAGTGTGTAAATTTCATGTATGTACGTTACATAAGTAGAATACTAAAGAGTCGTGGTAAGGCTAAGCACTCGCTGTAATATTCACAGTTCGCGAGCAACCCGGGCTCGATCCCCGCCGGCACTAATGAAATTGTTAATTGTAATTTTAACCACCCAATACATAATACCAGCGTAAAATAGGAGCTTAACGCTGCTGTGTTTCGTATGGTTAGTGTGGAGAACCGGAGACCCTTTTTACTGGAAAAGAGGCATTCTATCTTAGTCCTCACGGTTGACAAATCATCTGCATTTTGATTCGCTTAGGAGGATAGATGTAGGTATCTATGGGCCACAGCAACCACTTACCATCAGGTGGATTGTGTGCTGGCTTGTCACCCTAACCCAAATAAAGAAAAAAAAAAACCTATATTTTAAAATAAATTACCTTAATATTAATAGTAATGAATTTTATGTGATGTAATAAAATAAGGATTTTATACAACATAAAATTTAGTTTTGTTGCCAAATATAGTTTGCAAGCCAAAACGTAATCCATTGTTCCGAATTATCGTAATTAAACTATTGGTAGATTTTAAAAGACTAACAAAGGATGAAGGGGGATGTGTTATTTCATTATCGAGCAAATGTCCCAACGATCGCGGTTCATGACTACAAATAAATTATAGTGTATCGTATGTGGCATCTAGAGTAATATGCAAATCGATTACTAGGAGCGTTTAATTTGCCCGAAATTTAGTATTAGTTACCGCATTTTTGTATTTCTGGTTGTTACTAAGAAGACGCTGCCGCCTATTTCCTGGTCTTTTTCCTTCTGTCACCTCTTATGCCACCTACGGGACGGTGTGAGGTAGGTTCTAATATTTTTACACTGTCACTTCAAAGTTCACACCCCATCCCCATCAATTATCATTATAACATTGATACTAAACCTTAAGTTCTGAACATTCATGATGATAATGATGATAATGATGATAATAACCTTGTACTTATCTATAACCGATAAAAGTGTTAATACATTAATTATAAAGTACACACATAAAACACCTACCTTCGGTTATTTTATTGTGAGTGCTGTGAGTTTATTTTCAGGTATAGGTATTTTTTTACTCAAAGCTCAATATGAGAACTATTAAAATTTAAAGTTATTCAACAGGGCTATGAAGATGAGCCGATATCAAAAATATTGGCAGATATTGGGGAAAGTGATACGGTGCTACTAGACAGGTGGCAACTAACAGTAAAGCCAAATGAAGACGCGTCTGGCGAGGATACCAGTAACGCAAAACCTGAACTACCCCTGAATGTAGTTAATAACTACTTCTCTTTTGGTGTCGATGCTCACATTGCTCTCGAATTTCACGAAGCTAGAGGTATGTATTAGACTAAGTTCTCATATTTACTTTTATTATACACTAGCTTACTCGTATGGCTGCGGCTTCGATCGCGTGGATTTCTTACAGTTTAGAAATATTATATATTGAATGCCAGTGCTTCACTAATATTCAAACTGACGTTAAGTGGTAATGTAGACGGAGATGATAAAGCGCAATGACTTAGCTTATCAAAAGTCTATTCACTCTTCGCTTCGAGAGACATTAAGGGTGGAGGACATAGCGATTCGTGCGTACGCTACGAATTGTATCCTGTAAAACCCCAAGGGACTCGCTGTTTTCGATCGTTCATTCACGATATAAACTTTTTTATGTATTGTTAAATCTGTGTCTGAAATTCCTTTGTTTTTATTTTAGAGGCTCACCCTGAAAAGTTTAATTCTCGAATAAGAAACAAATTGTTCTATGGGACTGCTGGTGGTAAGGATCTAATGCAGCGCAAGTGGAAGGGTCTGGCAGAGTTCGTAACTATGGAATGTGATGGAAAAGATCTTACTCACGTACTTCGTGAACATAAAGTGCATGCTATCGTGTTCTTAAATATACCAAGGTATGTAGAATAGAAATAGTAGCATGGGAAAATAAATATTTTATCACAAATACGAGGATGCAAAATTAAATTTAAAAAGACCTTTTTAAGTGAAAATTTGTTTCATTCAAGTAGATTTCAGAACAACTTTAAGAAATTGAAATAACTTTCAGCTACGGTGGTGGAACACATCCTTGGAATAAATCAGGAGGCGCACATGAACCATCTACGGAAGATGGCCTGATAGAAGTCGTAGGCTTAACAACGTATCAATTGGTAAGGGTTTTAATAATAATTTTGGATTATGCTTTTTTAACTGCTACGTCTACTAATGATAGATTTGAATCTTCATTTTCTTTCATCTGTCGCAAAGTACCCTAAAACCCGATCCATAAATCTCGCGTTTTAGCTTCAATCTTCCTACGCTTGAGCTTTTGAGTTTACTAATGTATACCAGGATGAAATGAGAAATACTCTACTGGCAATCAAATCTTTATGGTTTGGATGAGTTTTCTAGACTCTGGATACAAGTCAATATCCTACTTTTCTGAAAAAGTCCTGCTCATAAACCCTCCCTAAAACTAATCTTCCCACCATTTTCAATCTAATTCTACATTGCCTTTCCTGTCTAAAAGCTGTTTTAGAAGCCTGTTAATATACAAACAAAAGCTACTCAGTGTTTACTATGTCAGCTTTCGCCCTGGTTACGTGGCACCGCAGCTGTTCTAATTAATATTTGATGACATATGAGATGTATGGTAAATAAGAAAGTTACAATGATGGTTCTTGTTGGCTTCTCTAATGCTTTTAACGCCGTAAACTATGGCATTCTTCTTGATATTCTTTCGTATTTTGGAATTGCTACCGTAGCCTTGAAGTGGTTCTCTCCCTATCGTCTGTCCACTTAGAATAAAAGACCAATCAGTGAGTTGGCCTTGGTCATTGACCTTTAATGTCTTTGAAAATCCCATCAAATTCCAAGCGATGATTGTAGTAAGTTCATGATTGCCGTCTAAAATCGATTCCGCTGGCTGGGTGGCCTCCTCTATATTTTTTTTGTAATATTATTTTAAGCCAGCGCTTAACTACAATCCCACCTGTTGGTAAGTGTTGATGTAGCCTAAGATGGTGATGCGCACTGACTTAACAATAGCCTATTCACTCTTACCTTGAAGACCTACACAGTAATCGGATGGGAAGACAGATGCTGGTAACATATTCCACTCCTTTGCTGTACGCATGATGAATGACGCAGCAAACCGTTTGGTTCGAATGCGTGGTAAGTCAACAACAAAAGTTTGGAGACTGGCCAAACGTCTGGTTTTCCTATGGTGGAAGGGACAGGGAGGAATTAAATTATGCAATTCCTCTCTCCGAAATATCTCTCTCGCGCATACTCTCCGAAATGCATCCTGTAGAAAACCGAAAGGCTGGCTACTTTGCGCCTGTGTTCGACGGTGGTAAGATTGATTTTAACCAAATTTGGGTCACCAATAAGCCTTTTAGCACGCCTTTCCATTGAGTCCAAAGCTGCTAGGTAGCATTTTGCATCTCCAGCCCATATATGGCAGCAATAATTCATGCACGATCGACTTGCGCTTTATATAAAGTAAGCAGCTGTCCCGGCATGAGTATCGTCGCATCTTTGCAAAGACTCCTAGCTTCCTTGCAGTTGCTTTGGACTTGGACTCAATGAATCGAAGTTCATATTTGAGGATATCTCAACCCCCAACAACTAAAGGCGGTCAGTATATTCCAGTGATGCATTTCGGGAAGAAAGATCCAATGCGAGCCGGCTCTTTTTGCAGTGAAGATACATGCTTGTGTTTTAGAGGCGTTGAATTTCACAAGATTGGCATCGCCCCACTCGGAGACTGCTACTAGTGTAATATTCACACGCTCTACCAAAGCTTCTCTTTCGGACTGGATTTGATCCCGACTGGTGCGAGGACTTGGTTGGTATCTCTCCACAACTGTGCTATCGTCTGCATACTTATCGATACTGGGCATAAGCAGATCATTAATATGCAGCAGGAAGAGAGTTGCGGGGAGAACAGAACCCTGAGGAATCGCATTAGTCGCCACAGGATCGGATTAGCTGCCATCGACGTCGACCTGGAAAGACCATTCTCTCAGGAAGTCCTTTACCCAGTCAATCAGACCAGGGGATAAGTCATACGCTGGAAGCTTATTCAAAAGGCTAGCGTGCCAAACTCTGTAAAAGGCCTTCGAAGCATCAAGAGAGTTCTCGAGTGCCTCGCCCCATAGGTATGTGGCATACGCTATAAGGACCTCAGCTGACCAATTTCGGCGAAACCCGTACTGTCGGTCACTAAGTAGGTCATTCTACTCTAGGTATGCCATTAAGCGGGCGTTCAATATACGCTCCATAATCTTGCAGAGTATGGAGGTAATTGAGATTGGCCGATAATTAGCAGAGTCCGTACGGTATAGTGATTGTTATAATGATTTCTTAATACCGTTCTTCCTGTTAATAATCTTAACTTGTTTATGGAAATTATAATTAGCTGAAGACCTCACATTACTGAATTAAGTAGTAAATTCTGCTAGTATATGATTCTAAAATTACTAATTTAAAAGCTTTGGCTGATGCTTGAGCAATTACTAATAAAACCAATTATTGATATGCTGATGTGTACTACCCAAACTTGAACTAATAATTAACAGAGTCCGTACGGTATAGTGATTGTTATAATGATTTCTTAATACCGTTCTTCCTGTTAATAATCTTAACTTGTTTATGGAAATTATAATTAGCTGAAGACCTCACATTACTGAATTAAGTAGTAAATTCTGCTAGTATATGATTCTAAAATTACTAATTTAAAAGCTTTGGCTGATGCTTGAGCAATTACTAATAAAACCAATTATTGATATGCTGATGTGTACTACCCAAACTTGAACTAAAATATTCTAAAGAAGCTAAAGAGTCTTTTAATAATTGGACTTCGCAAATATATTATCTATCAATATTACTCACGGCTTAATTGTCTTACTATTAAACAAAGACATAAAAAACGTTTGATCCTAACACCACTGCTTTCCTTATATTAAAATATCATTTACTTTTCTCTTTCTTCTTCTAGTTATGAACTAAGGACTTGCTTTACATTTCATTGATAATTAGTCCTAAATCCTTTACTTTTCAATTTACAAGCTCAGCCTAGTGTTAGATTACGACATATCTTCTCACCAAATATATCTCAAAACTTGAAAACAAGAGTTTATTACGTAAGTAATGTACTAAGACGTGGTCCTCCACTGCTAACTGTAACAACAACCTTAACGTCGCCCAACGAGCTATAGAGAGAGCTATGCAAGGAGGTTATCTGCGTGATATACTGCGAAATGATGATATTCACATCCGAACCAAAATAGCTAACATAACCCAATGGATCAGTAAGCTGAAGTCGCAATAGAGCGGTTATATAGCTCATATAGTGGCAGCCTCGTACCGATAACAAAAGTGTATGGCGGCCTCTCAATATATGGAGTAACGGCATGGTAAGAAATGCAGGAAGTCGATGGATACAGGTGGTTCAGGACCGTGCTTTAAGCACTTTGAGGGAGGTCAATGTTCAGCAGTCAACTTGTGCTGGGCTTTAATGATGATGATGATGATAGTGATTATCACAAAATAGTTAGTTACGGGATAATACAAATGGAAAAAGAAATCGGAACGTCGTTTGTTATGCAGACTGATGTACTCATTATCGTTTTTTTGTACCCTTAACTCTTATTTTTATCTTACCTGGCTTTATGTCACTCTCACTGAGGAGCATAATAACCTTTCTTATAGGTAGAAGTTATGAGATTCATTAAGTATAAAATATATTTGATCTCTCAGTCTCTTGTAATGGATCGAATGGATGAACGAGTAAAATACATAAGAGCTTATCACATAAGATAAGCTTTTATTATCATCCTCATTGCAGCCCTTCAAGTCCACTGTTGAACATAGTACTCTTCCAAGGAATGTCACAAATAATTTTGAGCCACCAGCAACCTTCGACTAACTATATGTCGGTGCAAGTCGTCATTCCATATACTCGTAGTGGGGGACCTTCTATACTCCCGGTAATAGCTGCCTCTCTAAAACCTAATACAATGGTAGTGGGTTCTTCGAGGTATAACTGTAAAATAATATATTTATTATTTTTTATAGTTATAAGCAGAAATATATTATTCTCGTTCAAAGTTAAACTCAATAAGTCTGTTTTTGCAGCCTTTATTACAAGCTGGGGGCCATGGTACATGTATAACACAGTGTAAAACGGCAAAGATTGTTACGACAAAAGTAATACCAATGCAAGTCGATGGTGAAGCTTGTCGTTTAGCTCCTTCAGTTATCACTTTATCAATACTTAATCAAGCTATTATGCTGGCGAAGCGTAAACCTGGACGTGTTCTAGCGCCGTAAGTTTATCAAATGATGTTAACAAATTATGCAATTTATACCATAAATCTTATAAAAGTAACAATTTTAATGCAATGTTAACCATATTAAAAAGTATAGGTCAGTATAAAATATTGTTAATAAATAGGTATTATTTAGAGTTTAAATTTGCTTTCGAGTAAATTTCAAAAATTAAATTACAATCCCTCGAACTAACGAGCAATATACATGAAGCGGAACTTAATAACATTTCCTTGCTTCTTAATTTTTTATATATTAGTAGTATTACTGTATTACAGTACATTATTAGTAAATTTATCTCCATTTTTCAGTCAAACGACGTTGGACAAGCTTACACTCACTGTGAATCTCATAAAAATGGCAGATTACGAAAGGCATCATTATGACAAAGAATTGCTCGCAAATACAGGTAAATTTTCATTCAGAAATATAGATGATTTAGATTATAAATAAGAGTATTGATTAAAACATTCAATATAATTAAGAAAGAAAAACAAAAAGTTAGCAATTTTTATATTATTTTTTCCCCATTTCAGCGGAACGAATTGGTACTTTGGAAGTTAATCCCTCGGCTGACTTGGAGCAAATGCGAACTCTCATTCAAAATATGATCAAAGAATCTCAAGCATACTCAAACTTTGTCGAATGGTGGTTTGTTGACTGTGAGTACCAGCACTGTTCCCGTCAGCTGTGTTGTACACTGATCCGTAATTTTGCGGATTTTTGTATCTGGAATTTTTTTTTGTCAATTTAATGTACTTTAACCTAGCTCAAATACTTTTTTCCTGAAAGTTTTATATCGGAAAATGTTGAATGATGTACACTCTTGTAACTTGCATACTCGTACAAACTAGAATATTTTTAGATATTTAAGCTGTATATATATATATTGAACGTACCCTGTTAACATAATAATATCTTGTGTAGTTGAAAGTTCTAAATATTAAAATCGGCAGGATCACCGCCATGAAATTTACGAGTACTAACTATTTATTATAATTTCTGTTTTGTACGAAAGTTACGTTACGAAACGTTATAATTTGACAGTAAACATTTTGAAAATAAATTAATTTCTAAAAAATGGTTACCGAAATCTATAAACAAATTAGGCTTAATTAATAAAAAAATATAAGATAAAATTTTAATTTTGATCTCCAAATAAAATCTATAAAAATATTTAATTGCAGCTGTAACAGCAGAACGTTTCTTTCGAATTGACAAGGCTCAGGAGAATCTCCATTACGCTACGGATATTGGACACGAGAACATTTACATTTTGGATGCTGCACCACAAACGCCTGACACCGAAACAACTGTTCACCCAGAAACCACGGCCACACCGTCCTTCGACCGTACCGGTCCATCAGTTTCTCTCGACACCACAACAGGACTTTCCGTATCATTGGATATATCTCAAAGCGTCGATACGCCGAGTGCTGGTGTTTCTCTGGATGTACCTGAATCGCATGCGAGGTAACTTGTTTTCTTCGTTTTAAATATTTCTTTGGTTCTTAATTATATTACATTTAATAAATAAATAATTGATGAACTTTTTAATGCTATAAAGTGAATCCGGCTTGGGCAGTCCAGCCAGAACATCAGAAGAGCTACATACCCCTCAAACCCCTCCATCTGCTGCTGCTACTGCTCCATCTTCGCCGGCACTTACAGCTCCGAAGATATCCATATCGGCTTCTTCAAAAGGGCCAGTTTCGCGATCGATCACTCCCAAATTATACGCACAGGAATTGAACTCTCCCCCTTTGTGTACCAGTCCACCTGCGAAAGAAAACGAAGCAACTCACGATTCTGTAGCAAGATTTAAGACGTAAGCAGAATGCTTTTTGCATTATTCTTTAATATTAAATATTTACTAAATAAAATTTTGATTGCATTGCATTGCAACTAACCATAGTTACGAAATATTAAAAAACGTTTTATTTTATTAGACTTTTTACTAACATACAAAACAAACAAACGCAAATTAAGTTGCCTGCCCTGCCTGGGTCTATTTGTGGGAAAGAACAGTGGCATTCTGCATTCCTTTCCTTTCGTCCTGCTAGATTGCCTGACAATAGGGTATTTTACACCATGTAAAAAAATCAAAAATATATTTTTATGATAGATTTTGTAAAAAAGTAAACGAGAAACATTGATTTCTATTTTTAAAAATGCGTTATAAATTTTATATTTCAATTTTTAAAATATTTTTTTTATCGGTGCCTCAAATCTGCAAAACGCTGTCCGCCATATTAATACCGTCGTGACGTCACTGGTATGAGAACTAGCTAATGTGCTGTGTTATTTCGAAATTGTTCAAGTTATCATTACGATTGTTGCGTTTATTCCGAATTTAATTACAATTCGTTTAACAGAACCCATAATCTTATATTGTGTGTAATTTTCCATGTCATTTTCCAGCTAAAACATGCATGAATCTTTATGACATTTGAAATCAAAGCGAGTTTATTACTTCTATTTTATCAGTAATGTTATAGATATTATAATATAAGGTGAGAAAAACTTTTTGTAATATTTTTTGTACAAACCATGTAATAGAAGAAAACACGAATTAAGTAAAAGGGCTGTCAAAATGGCCCACAAAGGGCGGGACAGACGAGCGATTAACCTAATAAATAAATAAAATAAAAAAATTTGGAAAAATCTATTACAAAATTTGACTTGCACCTATCATGTCATGATGTTTTGTTTTGTATAAACTATAGTTAAATATAAGTCATACTTACATCAAAGTGATCTTCACAGAAGTATAGTTTAGATTTTGTAGACAATGCCTTCGGGTCTCTTCTTGCTAGATTTAACCAAGTATTTCTCATATTTATTGGCACCAGTTGGCACTTGAATCCATAACTTCCCCGGCGTTCATATGCTTGTATTTTTGCATTCAGACACAACACAACAATGATATAGACGATAACTCATTATTAAACATCCAAACAATCTAGTGTATTATCTATGCGTATCTTATTCCTTTGCAAAATCGGAAAAATTCTAGGGCTGTGACGTCACGAGTTGAATGAACAGCATGGTGGCTATCGTTTTCACGCGAAAATTTAAAATGATAGATTAAAAGTAATTTTTATGGCACTATCGGGTTTTAAAAAAATTATATAAAAATTATAGTGGATCATTATCATTCTATTAATTTAAAACACTTTTTGGTGTACCTAATACTCTATTGTACGATCGCGCTGATTCTACCTTTCATAGCTCCTTCATAATTTCCTTATTCTGTGATAAAAATTATACAGACTTATTTACCCGAAAAAAATTAGCCATTCCACATAGCACTTCCATTTTAGTTTCTAAATGTTGCGAACTATAGATAGTGGGCCGCTAAAAAAATATTTGCAAAAGTAAAAAGAGTTTTTCGCGTACATTTTTATTATCACATCATGTATTTAAACAATTTTTGAAGTACATTTTCCACACTCAGATACTACATCCTGTTCAAACGCTGCTAGCGTATTTTTCAGCAATGACAACTATCCTTTTTAGCAGATTTTTTATTTTAAGGAATAAAAAGGAGTCACACGGTGCCAAATTAGGGCTGAGGCTGATCAGTGCAAAAATTAGCGTGACCCAAAATCTTAACCGGTGTGCTGTCCGTAGTCCCCCGTTTCGATCACTGAGTGCGCGGGCATGTTGTTAAGGAGAATGAGTCGCCCGCGGAGCCCTTTGTTCGGTCGTTCGGTTGTTGCTCACAACAGCGAACACTTCTGGCAAACATTTAGAAGTATACCATTCGACACTGATGCTACTTCGATTTCGTAAAGGAATTAATACTAGATACCACGTCAAAGTGAAAAAAAAACTAGCGATCAAAATCTTCCCTGTGCTACTCTATCACTTCACTTTGGTAGGCGTTGTTTTATTTTAATACAGTCAGTCAGTCAGTCTTGACTGGCAATCAAAGATTCATCACAGGCAGTAATGTCTTAAGCGTAGCCTACTTCAAATTTAGTAATCTAATTCGGAGCATTGGTGAGATTGTGGAGCATCAACGCGAAACTGTTTACCTCACACGAAGATGTTCGTGTAAAGTTATGGGCTGAAACCCTTTTTACGTGTTTCACCTATTTTTTTTATAAAATTTATCACTGCAAGCATGTGTCCTTCCGTAAGCGAGTCAAAGGAGACTATAAATATATTTATTAGAGAATATATTTACTACCCGCATTATTTTGAGTATCATGCACGGATTTAAACTCTTCACAAGAAGTGTGAACTAGGAGACGCAATTGCAATGCACAGTTTTATATTTCTGTTTACTTTATTTATTAATTGTTTATTATATAAAAAGTCGTTTTTTAGAAAAAATAACTAATTAGTTTTATAAAATGTGTGGTTTTTGACGCTGTACTATATATACAGGCATTTACCCATAATACCTGGGGTACTGAAAGTTTTGCGTAACTCATAATCAAAACAGCTTTTATGTAAGGTAATATATTTACCGTTTCTAAAAGTATATTCTCCATTACATTTTAAATGCTTTTATAGTACACGGTGACTTAAAACCACGTCTAAGTCACGCTCACGCGGGACTTAACTAGCTGATTATTGTACGGTTACCGAGTATGTTTTACTTAAAAAAAGTAGGTCTAGTGGTTGTAGTAGTATGTTTGCTTATCATGAGGTCCGGGTTTGAATCCCGAGTCGGACCAAAAAAATCTGTTATTGAGTTATTGAATTTTTCCATCAAGAAATTCTCAGTAGATGCCCGAGTGAGGAATCTGGTGGTGTCACACCCCCGTGCCCCGGAAAGCACGTAAAGCCGTTGGTCCTGCGCCTGAGCTCTCTCCGGTCGTATCGGTTTACCGTCCCATCGGACTGTGAGAGTGAGAGAATAGAGAGTGCACCTGTCCTGCGCCGATGACTAGTCTTCGTTGAGACTGGCCGCCGTGACTGAAAATCGGTCTGAAGGACATTATTATTATTATTATGTTTTACTTAAGTAATGCCTCGTGTATTGGCGGGCAAGAATACCCACTACCCCATATCTTCCCGTGGGTGTCGTAAGAGGTTACAGAGGAAAACTAAGGCAGAAGATGGGCAGCAGCATCTTCTTAAACAACAATAAAAAACTACGGTTGCCAACCTGCATAACAAGCGTGGCAACTATGACAATATACCCCCAATAAATAAAGTTACGAAGAGACGGCCCCCGGTCCCCGGCGACCCCGCTATTCCTGGCTACGGTGGCGACCATGGTAGAGGTAGGGGCAGAGGGTGCTAACAATCTCTGGAGGTTCGGCTGCCATCTAAGACGACTTGACCTAGCAACATAACAACATAACGCACGCACCCTGAGGACTGACGAGAAGCACCTGGCGCTGGAAGAAGAGATAGACAAGTTGGATTATCCGAGGTCCGAAGAGAGGGGAGGACATGGTAATCCTCGAATCCGGCAACTTGTTCTATCATCGGAAGGGCAGCCATCTGTCCCAAGGAGGTGTCGGATTTATCGTCCACAAGTCTCTCGTTAACAACGTTGTAAAGGTTGAGAGTGTGTCAACGAGGGTTGCGTACCTTATACTCAAAATCACCAAACGGTATTCGCTGAAGGTCATACAGGCTTACGCACCAACCTCGGCACATCCCGATGAGGAGGTGGAGGAAATGTATGAGTATATATCTAGCGCCATGCGTTCCTTCAAAACCCACTATACGGTGTTAATGGGAGACTTCAACGCAAAACTAAGCACAAGAGAGAACGGTGAGCTGAGGGTAGGGAAATTTGGAATAGGGCAACGGAACCCAAGGGGCCAGCAGCTGGCTGACTTCATGGAGAAAGAGGAACTCTTTATGATGAACTCTTTCTGTCAGAAGCGTCCCCACAGAAAGTAGACCTGGTCAAGCCCCGATAGTTTAACAAAAAATGAGATTGACTGCATTATGACGACCAGACGACAACTGAACAAGTGATGTTTCTCTGATTGCTAGGGTTAAAACTGGTAGCGATCACCGAATGGTTAGATGCACACTGAACCTAAACGTTAAGTTGGAGAGTTCTCGTCTAATGAAGTCAACGCTCCGTCCCCCTCGTGCTCTAATCCAAAGTCCCGAAAACCTTCAGCTCGAGCTACAAAATCGTTTTAAGTGCCTAGAAGATTGCGATGAAGTGGATGATATGAACGATGAGCTCGTGGAAACTGTCCATGCGGTCGGAGCTAAGTTTTGCAAGACCCGCCGCAGAAGAACACAAAAACTCTCCAATCACACTCTCAATCTCATGGCTGTTAGACGGGAAATGAAGCTGCAGTATTCAGCAGATTTGACAGCACACCGGCAAATGAACAGACAGATCTCCAAATGCATGCGGCGAGACTTTTTATAGGATAGGGTGACAAACGAGCACACATATCACCTGATGGTAAGCGGTTGTTGTGGCCCATAGATATCTACATCTATCCTCGTTTGTGAATCAAAATGCAGATGCGTTGTCACCCGTGAGGACTAAGATGACTCTTTTCCAGTAAAAAGGCTCTCCGGTTCAGGCTCTCAGCAGTGTTAAGCTGTTGTACCCTTCATCGTTGAAGCCACACGCAAGTGTGAATAATGAACCAAGAGCAAGTCTTATCTGACACTATTCCGATGATAGTCCAGACGTCAATGTGAGAGAGATTAGAATGGCTCTTCAGCAGGCCCTAGGCTAGGATGAAACAACTTACAGCGGAGCTGAAAGCGGGTGGAAAACCGGTACTTGTAGTCCTTCAGAAGCTCTTTATTTCCGTCCTCCATGATGGCACTACACCGGAGGCGTGGAGCAGAAGTGCGATGGTCTTGTTCTTCAAGAAAGGCGACAATGCTCTCTTGAAGAACTACAAACCGATTTCCCTTCTAAGCCGCGTCTACGTGCTGTTTTCAAGAGTCATTACGAATCGTCTCTGATGCAGACTCGACGACTTCCAGCCTCGCGAACAAGCCGGTTTCCGAAAAGGCTTTAGCACCATAGACCACATTTATACCCTTCGGCAAATTGTACAGAAGTCTGAGGAGTATACAATTTGCCACTATGTCTGGCGTATGTGTACTATGAGAAAGCCTTTGATCCCGTCAAAATTTGGGCGGTGCTGCAGTCCCTTTAGCGGTGCCAAGTTGACTGTCGGTATATCGAAGTACAGTAGGGCTACGATGGCTATCCGAGTACAGAATCATAGTACGAAACCTATCCAACTGCAGAGAGGTGTAAGAAAGGGTGACGTTATATCCCCGAAACTCTTCACCGCTACATTGGAAGACGTTTTCAAGCGTCTGGACTGGAAAGGATACGGTATTAATATCAACAGTATCAGAGTACAGCACTCACCTCTGGTTTGCCGACGATATATTCCTTATGGCAGAATCGCTGGAGGACCTAAGCACTATCCTCAATGATCTCAATAATGCCTCCAAACGCATAGGTCTTAAGATGAACATGGACAAAACAAAGATCATGTAAAACGTCCATGTCACACCTATGACGGTAGTTGTTGGGAGCACTAAGCTCCATGTTGTTGACGAGTATGTTTACCTGGGACAAATAGTCCGACTAGGTAAGTCCAACTTCGACCGAGAGGTCAATCGACAGATTCACCTTGGCTGGGCAGCGTTCAACCGGTGCGTGATGCGTGCGGTAGCTGAAATTATAGAAGATATAGAGGAAATACGTAACAACCAAGGTGAGGTGAAGTTCTTCTGGATTAAAGCTCATTGTGGAATCCCAGGGAATGAAAGAGCTGACGAATTGGCGAAATTAGCAGCGCAGACGTCTAAGCAAGCGCCAACTTACGACTGTTTCCCACTGTCCTTTGCAAAGCGTCAAATCAGGGACAACTCAATTATAAGGTGGCAAGAAAGGTACAGCACATCCAACACAGGGTCTACGACAAGAAAATTCTTTCCTTGTATAAAAGAAGCATATAAAACTATGTGTAAAGTAAAAATGAACAATTTCATTTCACAAATTCTGACAGGTCACGGAGGCTTTAAATCATACCTGTTTAGATTTAAGTTGTCACAAAGCCCCTACTGTAGCTGTGATAATCAAACATCGCAAACAATAGAGCATATCCTTTTAGACTGTCCGAAATTCGCTTATGCAAGACTTTCATGCGAGCAAAGTATGGGCTTGGCGCTAAAAGAGGAACCCTTATGTAAAGCTATTAACAGCAATGACAGTCGATTTCACTTTCTAAAATTCGCAAAACAAAGCACTGAAATTATTCTCAAAGAGAATAATTCAAAACACAAATAACAAATATTGATAATAATAATATGAGAAATAGTAATAATATAACTTTTATACTTACGTTTAGAACCACAAAGTAATAAATGAACAAAGTAACGTAATAATACTAGTAGAAATAAAAGGATTGTTTTAAATAGTATAAGAAAAAGAAATGAATTAGTTTAATGGAAGTAGATTAAAACAGACTATGTATGTACTTAGAGTAAAATATTAATTTAATAGCGAAACACATAATAATTAGTAATAAGTTCAACTATATTATAATATGTGCAAAAGCATGTGAAAAAAAATGTTTTCTATACTATTATTAACAAATAATAAGGGAAAAAAAAGAAAAAAGAATACTTACATCAAGATACAGAAAATATGTAAAGTTATGTCAATGTAATTGTACAGTAAAAATAGTTGATTGGAAGGATATTATACTAACAGACATAAAAGGGTCATTGTAGATAATAAAAGATAAGAAAATGAAGTAGTTAATGTAATTAGCTTCAAACAGATAATGTAATTAGCGTAAAACATGAAAAAGAGTAGCGGAATACATGATAATTAGTAATAAGTTTTAAAAATATAAGTGTTAATTATAAATTATTCAAAAAAAAAATAGGAAAAAAGAAAAAAAAAGATAATAAAAAAAAATAAAAAAAAACAGGATAAAATGTTTAAAGTAAAATAATTTAAAAAACGTATAAAAGGTGCTGTAAAAGGAACAACAGCAGATGAAGTGAGATAAATAAAAATAAAAAAAAACCGGTGCGTGATGACCTATGGAACTGAGACTTGGTCCTTCACTGCTGGCCGTATGAGGAAGCTCAAGGTCGCTCAGCGAGCTATGGAGAGGGCTATGATTGGGTGTTTCTCTGCGTGATAAACTTAGAAATGAGGATATCCGCAGTAGAACCAGAGTGGCCGACATAGTCCAACGGATTAGTATGCTGAAGTGGCAATGGGCCGGCCATATAGCTTGAAGAACCAACAATAGATGGGAAAAAAGGTTCTCGAGTGGCAGCCTCGTACCGGCGGACGAAGTGTAGGGCGTCCCCCCGCTAGATGGAGTGACGACCTGATAAGACATGCAGGAAGTCGATGGATGCAGGTGGCTCAGGACCGTGCTTTTTGGCATTCCTTGGGGGAGGCCTATGATCAGCAGTGGACTTGTGATGGACTGTAATGATGATGATGAAGTAAGGCATAAAATTTATAATATTTTATAATTTTAAAAAATTTAAACATTTATTGAAACATAATAATAAATACAGAACAATAGAACTATAATTAGTTACATCTATTAGAATACTTTAAATTACAAACAAAACATTAAATCATTTGATCAAGAAATATCAAAAAAAAATACTTGACATTTTTAGATTGGACTGTATTTTTTTACTTTATTTTTTTTTGAATTGCACTTACATATAAGCCAACATCTGGATCCTACAAAACTTCTGTAAATCGAGTCTCGTTGCACCTTTGGTCCCGTTTAATTAAATCTTTAGATTGGTGTTGTAATTCTTGTACCGAAACTTTTTGATTATCTGTATTTACTAACAAAACTTCTTCATTCCGACATGATGTTGATATTTTAGATCTAGAATTATCAGAAAGAACATTTTTGTTTGATTTTAATTTCAAATAATGTTTTTCTTGAATTTGAGCAAATAAACATTTTTGTCTTTACAACATTTAGTATTCTACAATTTTGCAATTAAAAAAGTGGTTTTAAGTTACTTGTACTATAAAGTAATATACCATACACGGAACTAAGTAACCGATTAAAAGTGTAAAATTAGTGCGTAGTGTACTATTTTATTCGTTCAAACCATTTTTAAACCATTCTTTCAAAACATAAGGACCATTGGTACGAAGGCATGTTCACTTGCTGATCGAAAGCTATCACGGCCATTCTGTCTCCGTAAATGTCGAACCTCTTATCAAATCTTTGATTTTTAGAAAAATGAAGCAATCGGATGGTGCGATGTCTAGACTGTGTGTGGAATTGATCACGAGCTCCACTCCATTTTCAGAAGTATATAATGACCTTATTCGCGGTGTTCGATGTAGCATTGCCATGATGCAGTAGAATGCAACTTCTTGATCATTTTCCCTATCTTTTTTCTAAACGATCTTTCGCTCATTAAGGCATCGTGCAGACAGGACCCGTCTGGGGAGAAAAAAAACGCGATCGTTTTTTGTCTATGCTTCTGCCTGTCTCAATTTTCTTCAATTTCAATCTCCTTGTAGGTGACGCACAGGTTTTCTTTTCAATTATTCGCCTGACAGTAGCAATATTTTCCTCAGTGATCGCAGTTCAAGGTCGACCTTCTCGAATATAATCATGAAGAGAAACGCGGTCATGGTTCTGCATACCACCACGTTATAGTGCTCAAATGAGGTGCACCCTCCCAAAAGCATTTTGTGGACGAGCAGTGCAATATTGCGGAGAGAGTAAACTTTTAAAATCACAAAAAGTCGCCCTTAAATATTTTTGCGTTAATTCAATTTTTGCTACGCATGACTTGAGATGAAATACAATTGACACGCTACTTCCCGCTCAGATTATATATACAATAAATGAGTTAATTATGTTTTAAAAAAAATTAACATTCGAAATTCAAACATTTATGAGCGGCCAGGAGCGCAGAACTTCCAGTGTGCCCTATGTATATTCTTTTATAGTTTCATAGTTTGAATTGTGCATATAAAACGGTTGTAGAGTATTGTCAAGCTTCTTGTGTAATGCTATTGCTCACTTATTTGGAGTTTTTCTGCACTCTATCTCTTCTTTCTTATATTGCATGCAGCATTCACGAAAAACTGTTTGGACTTGATCAAGAAGTGTTTGACTATAGGTGAGATGACACAACATTTGGTAAAAAATTTTAATGAGGGTTTTTAGTTTGAAAAATAAATTTATACATAATGTATTGTAGAGAACATGGATATTCGTTTAAATTTAACTTAAGGGAAAACATGTTTAAAATTCGTAGTTTTTAGGCAATTATTTAAATGAGTTTCTAAATTTAAAGTCAAGGTTTCGTAAATAAAATACTGGTTACTAAAATACTTAGAGAGCGATTGGATGTTAGTGAATACAAAGTCAGAAATGGTAACTGATAAACACTAATTTTATATACCATTTATTTCAAACAAGCAGCGTGATATTGTTTGAAAAACGTAAATTCTGTTTGAATAACAACATTTTTGCATTTTGTGCATCATTATGATAATCTTTTATTTAAATTGAGCTGTATTTTATTTAAAATGAGGTGATAAATAAAGCAAAACCTCACCAAGAAATATCTTGCTGGGTAGCGTAATATATAGATAACATAAGCCTACGCTTAAACCAAAACTAGCTAATTTTATCTAATGTTATGTTTATTTCGTAATAAATAGGTGTTACCGTGTAGTGGCGGTCAAGAATACCACTACCCCATATCCTCCCGTGGGTGTCGTAAAAGGCGACAAAGGGAAACAGGCAGGAGATGGGCAGCAGCATCTTCCTGATAATAGCCAGACAATAAAAAAACTGCGGTTGCCAACCCGCTCGCCAAGCGTGGCAACTATGGCAAATACCCCCCCAAATGAATAAAGTTACTAAGAGACGGCCCCCAGTCCCCGGCGGCCCCGCTATTCCTGGCTACGGTGGCGACCATGGTAACGGCGGGGCAGGGGGTGCTAAGAATCTCCGGTGGAGGTTCGGTTGCCACCTTAGACGACTCGACCTGGCAACGTACAACGCACGCACCCTGAGGACTGACGAGAAGATCGTGGAGCTGGAAGAAGAGATAGACAAGCTGCGCTGGCATATTATAGGATTATCCGAAGTCCGAAGAGAGGGGGAGGACACGGTAATCCTCGAATCCGGCAACTTGCTCTATCACCGGGAGGGCGACCATCTGTCCCAAGGAGGTGTCGGATTTATCGTCCACAAGTCTCTCGTTAACAACGTTGTAAAGATCGGGAGTGTGTCGACGAGGGTTGCGTACCTTATACTCAGAATCACCAAACGGTATTCGCTGAAGGTCATACAGGTTTACGCACCAACCTCGGCACACCCCGATGGGGAGGTGGAGGAAATGTATGAGGATATCTCTAGAGCCATGCATTCCTCCAAAACCCAATATACGGTGTTAATGGGAGACTTCAATGCAAAACTAGGCACAAGAGAGAACGGTGAGCTGAAAGTAGGGAAATTTGGAATAGGGCAACGGAACCCAAGGGGCCAGCAGCTGGCCGACTTCATGGAGAAAGGGGGACTCTTTATGATGAACTCTTTCTTCCAGAAGCGGCCCCACAGGAAGTGGACCTGGTCGAGCCCCGACGGTTCGACAAAAAATGAGATTGACTTCATTATGACGACCAGACGACAACTGTTCAGTGATGTCTCCGTGATCGCGAGGGTGAAAACTGGTAGCGATCACCGAATGGTTAGAGGCACACTGAACCTAAACGTTAAGTTGGAGAGGTCTCGTCTAATGAAGTCAACGCTCCGTCCCCCTCGTGCTCTGTTCCAAAGTCCCGAGACCTTTCAGCTCGAGTTACAAAACCGTTTTCAGTGCCTAGAAGACTGCAATGAAGTGGACGATATGAATGACAAGCTCGTGGAAACTGTCCATGCGGTCGGAGCTAAGTTCTGCAAGACCCGCCGCAGAAGAACACAAAAACTCTCCGATCACACTCTTAATCTCATGGCTGTTAGACGGGAGATGAAGCTACATTCTTCAACAGACTTGACAGCATACAGGCATCTGAACAGACAGATCTCCAAATGCATGCGGCGGGACTTACGCAACTTCAACACAGCTCGTATTGAAGAAGCGATCGAGCGGAACCAAGGCTCCAAAGTCTTTGCCAGAGATCTGTCTGCCAGAAAGAGCCAACTGTCAAAGCTGAAGACAGAGTGTGGCAGCATCGTTTCCGGGGCACCTAAGATTTTGAGTGAGATTGAGAGGTTCTATGGGCAGCTGTACACGTCATCGTTGGAGCCACACGCAAGTGTGAGTAACGATCCAAGAGCGAGTCTCATCCGACACTATTCCGAAGATATCCCGGACGTCAGTCTGAGCGAGATTAGAATGGCTCTCCAGCACCTTAAAAACGGTAAGGCCCCAGGCGAGGATGGAATTACAGCGGAGCTTCTGAAAGCGGGTGGAAGATCGGTACTTGAAGTCCTTCAGAGGCTCTTTAATTCCGTCCTCCATGGTGGCATTACACCGGAGGCGTGGAGCAGAAGTGCGGTGGTCTTGTTCTTCAAGAAAGGTGACAACGCTCTCTTGAAGAACTACAGACCAATTTCCCTTCTGAGCCGCGTCTACGTGCTGTTTTCGAGAGTCATTACGAATCGTCTCGCGCGCAGACTTGACGACTTCCAGCCTCCCGAACAAGCCGGTTTCCGAAAGGGCTTTAGCACCATAGACCACATACATACCCTTCGGCAAATTGTACAGAAGTCCGAAGAGTACAATTTGCCACTATGTCTGGCGTATGTGGACTATGAGAAAGCCTTTGATTCCGTCGAAATTTGGGCGGTGCTGCAGTCCCTTCAGCGGTGCCAAGTTGACTGTCGGTATATCGAAGTGTTGAAGTGCTTGTACAGTAGGGCTACGATGGCTATCCGAGTACAGAACCAGAGTACGAAACCTATCCAATTGCAGAGAGGTGTAAGACAGGGTGACGTCATATCCCCGAAACTCTTCACCGCTGCATTGGAAGACGTTTTCAAGCTTCTGGACTGGAAAGGATACGGTATCAACATCAATGGCGAGTACATCACTCACCTTCGATTTGCCGACGATATAGTCCTTATGGCAGAATCGCTGGAGGACCTAAGCACTATGCTCAATGACCTCGATAGTGTTTCCCAACGGATAGGTCTTAAGATGAACATGGACAAAACAAAGATCATGTTTAATGTCCATGTCACACCTATGCCGGTAGTTGTTGGGAACACTAAGCTCGAAGTTGTTGACGAGTATGTTTACCTGGGACAAATAGTCCGACTAGGTAAGTCCAACTTCGACCGAGAGGTCAATCGACGGATTCAACTCGGCTGGGCAGCTTTCGGGAAGCTACGACACATCTTCTCGTCAGACATACCTCAAAACCTGGAAACGAAATTGTACAACCAGTGCGTGTTGCCAGTAATGACTTATGGAACTGAGACGTGGTCCTTCACTGCTGGCCGTATGAGGAAGCTCAAGGTCGCTCAGCGAGCTATGGAGAGGGCTATGCTCGGAGTTTCTCTGCGTGATAAACTTAGGAATGAGGATATCCGCAGTAGAACCAGAGTAACCGACATAGCCCAACGGATTAGTAAGCTGAAGTGGCAGTGGGCCGGCCATATAGCTCGAAGAACCGACAACCGATGGGGAAGAAAGGTTCTCGAGTGGCAGCCTCGTACCGGTAGGCGAAGTGTAGGGCGTCCCCCCACGAGATGGAGTGACGACCTGGTAAGACATGCAGGAAGTCGATGGATGCAGGTGGCTCAGGACCGTGCTTTGTGGCATTCTTTGGGGGAGGCCTATGTTCAGCAGTGGACTTGTGAAGGGCTGTAATGAAATAGTTGTTCGTGGCTTTAGGGTAGCTCTGGCGCTACCCCAGCTGTATTATAACCTACTGGCAACAGCTTCTATTGTTTAAATGTTATCTAATACTTACAAGTTTAGCCGTGAGCCGTCTTAGCTCAGGAGATTAGTGGCCGCTGTAAATTTTACAGTACGTGAGCAACCGGGGTTCGATCACCGCCTGCACCAATTAAATTGTTAATTGCAATTTTAAATGCTGATATACCACGTGCTCGGCGAAGAAAGAAAACATCGTTAGGAAACCTATATGTCTGAGAAATAAGAAAAAATATATTTCGAAGGCATGTGATGTTCGCCAACACACATTGGAGCAGCGCGACGGACATTTCCTTGCCCTAAAAACCTCTCAGAAATGAGAGGAAACCTTTGTTCAGCAGTGGGACGTATATAGGCTGTAACGTTTAACTTACATTTTTAGTCATTGGGTCTCGGCTATCTTAAGTTTAATTCGATAATTCATGAAATAATTTATCGCATCTCGTTGAGTATTTCTCGTCGCTCACTCAGTATTTATATCGCTCTCCTAAAATTTTACTACTCATAATGTTTATAATTGTGTGCAACTTTCTGCAACTTGTTAATAACTTTTTTATTAATTAACGCCAGCAACGCGGTAAAATTTTCGCAAAGATAATAAAATGCTGCGCTATCCAGTATTATAGAATGTCGTTATAACTTTGTAACAATTTTTTATTCGATCGTTCAATAATTTCCCTTTCATTTTGCAATCGAGAACTTATTAATAAATTATTTTGGGTCTCATAAATTATTTAATTAAACTTATTGAAGTTAAATATACTTGACAGATTTTTAATATATTGCTTTTTAAAGTTCATTCGAATCTTAAAGGTATAAGAAGAAATTTTAACTAATTGATTAACAAGTAGTGGCTTTTTAAATTTAACATTATGCGGTATATTTTTTTTTTAATTATGTGCGTTTTTATTTACAAAATTTTTATTACAATTTAGGTACCGATCACATTCCTTTCATGGTTTAAGTATGAACTTAATTTTGTTTCAGAAATTTATTAGAAAAGACGTCTGATGCTCTTCTCAAGGCCGCTAAAACAAACGATTTAAAAACGGTTAGTTGCTTTTTACTGTATTTTTGTACGCTATGTTCAATTTCATTAATGTTTTTTTTTTTGTTGAGTAGGTAAAGGATCTTCATGCGGCGGGTTATTCTCTTCTGTCGATTGACGCAAGTGGCCAAACCGCGCTACATATTGCCGCACGACACGGAAACAAGGAAATAGTGAAATACCTTATCGCATGTGCACCAACGTCTATATTAAATATGCGTGACAACGAGCGCGGACAAACAGCCTTGCACATGGCAGCGGCAAATAAAAAACGAGCAGTATGCTGTATGCTTGTTGCTGGAGGTGCTTCCTTAACGCGACAAGACCATGCGGGTCTTACGCCGAGATCTCTTGCACTTCGCGCCGAAGACCACGATTTAGCGGCCTATTTAGAAAGTAAGTTGTTTGAATTATAGAATTACATTTATATACGTCATTAAATAAGTTGTCGCAACTTGAACCGATTGAACATGATCGAAGTTACGAATCGGCGGACCATGGAAAAACTTTTGTAAGTTTATTTGTACTGTCAGATGTTATTAAATAACTATACTTTATAAAAAATAAATAAACCTAAATAAATAGAATAGATTGGTGTATAAGCTTATAGTTGTATAACGGTTCATTCTTAAAATACCAACTTAATTTCCCTAACTAAATTCCGATCCCAAATGCGAGGATACCAGCTTTGTGTTTATAACAGCTGCCTGTACAAATCAACAAATCTTTCAATATATGCATGCCAGTTAGTGTAGCCTTGAAAAAGCCTATTTTCCAGCAATAGTTTAAAAGCCTATTATAGTAAACTCCTAAAACCAGTGTCACTGTCCCTCAACTCTGCCAGTTATAGTGAGATGAATACTGATAATTTCATCTAGTGCGCTTTCTGTAAAACTTAGTACTCTAATTGTTGATAAAATGCCACACTTAGAATATTCGACAATTCGGTATGTAAACTTTTGTTATAGAAGCTTTAGTCATTTTTGTTAACTTTTTGATGACATCTTGGAAAAGATGAACGAGTTCGCTACCTTTGTCAAGTATAGATAAACTAATAATATCAAAACTGATGGATTTACTCCGCACAAACTGGTTGATAAGTAACATAAATCTAAATTTTAAATGGCAGTCAATCGTAGCAAAGCAACGGTAAACGCAAAGGTGAATCAATTAAATTAGAAATCAATCAAAGTAGACATGTGTCGTTCACTCATTTCTAGTGACCCGATCATTCAAGTATTGATTGTCTTCCGGGTCATTCGGGTCGATCATTAAAATAGATCATTTCAAGTTTCAGTACTCTGTGATCTGTGCGACCAGCTCGATAAAGTCTGTCGTCAGACATTACTATACTCTTTGGTAGTAGGTCCTGTCAATGGTTTGATACGAAACATTCAAATATATAATTGCAATCATCAATACTTTGATGCGACCGGAGTCAAATGAAAGAATCATTGACGATTGACACATGTCTGAATCAAAGATATATTAAATGTATTTCATTATCAAAATTAAGTCGTTGACATTTGACAAGCTACACAATGTGGTATTTAAATCACTGACAATGGTCTCCTTTATGATGTCACATGTGGAGATGAATAAATAAGAAAAAATAATTTCAATGATTTTCGATAAGGTCGTCAACGTTGATCAGGACCGTGTTTTGGGACAGTCCTTGGAGGAGGACTATGTGAACATAGTGAAGCGAGGGACTTATGATGGGTTATACCCATGACGACGAGGATTAAGAAGAAAAACATCTACCATCCATATATAAGATTTCTAAATATTAAAATAATGATTACAAATGAACAGAACTATACTGACATAATGTAGTGGCACAAATCTGGTCTTTTTTTACCGACCTTCATATAAAATAATATTTAAAATGGCCCAAGTTGATCTTAACCTTGTATAACGTCTCAATAGACTTTATACAAGGTTAACATCGACTTTAATGATAAAAAGTTTAACAAAAGCCGTGTGTAGGCAGCCTTGACTAATGAGGGCATCCACAACTTTTTCTGCCACCAGGGTGGCGCCAGTATGGAATGACAGATTGACAGATTTCATGGAGGTGAAATTAAATTGTTAAAAAAATATAAAAATTAATGTTTCTTTCTGAAATCTTAGCTATATTTTACATTAACTAGATTGAAACCCGCACATATTCCTAAAAGTAAAAGAATGAATTAAAAAGAGAGTTACAAAACGTGAAAAAATTTAAGAGCAGCAACTGAGCCACTGTTTTGTGTTTATAGGCACTAGAAACCGATTTTTTTTAATTTGAAATGCATCTTTTAACTTATTGTGACACTGCGTAATAATATATATCACCTCAGTCCTATCTATCGGCATCTGGTGAGCGGAGAATTATTAGCTGCCAGTAATGAACTGGAATATTATGAAAGACATAATAAAGTAATTAAACATTACGATTTAACTTAAATTATTGATTTTCTGTGTAATGATGGAAATTTTTAAATTCAATATTTTTTTCAGGCCAAGAGCATTTTCAACTAGTTTCGGAAGATTTGGAAACGGCTGTTTGAAGATTTGGCAGCATAGTCAGTCATTAATCAATGTGAATGAAATTTCGTCGATGTAGGGGCGACCCGTTTACTACGAGAATTTACATAATATTTGAATTTTAATGATGCTTTATCATGGAATTATACTATACTCTAACATCAAAGTGATATTTAAATTTTGTAGTTTTATTACTACTATATAAAGAAAACTTAAACATTTTTCACTATTTATGAAAAGAGATTATTATGATATAATTATTATTACGATTGACTTAAATTGGTAGTGTTAAATTAATTCATCTCAATTCATAAAAATATTGACTGAATAAATGTTACGGATAAGTATTTTGTGAAATATAATCTAGTTAATATTACTTTTATGAAATAAAACTTTTCTAATAGGTAATTAAACATTTTTAAAGCTTTAATTCATGTTATTTGCGTAGGCAGATCGAATTTTGCGTTTTTCAAACAGTTGCAAATCTAAATCCGTAACATTTAGTTGCAGAATAATTTTATTAAAATGAATACTTATCTAGTAAAATTTAAACTTAATATAGATTAAATATAATTCCTAGCCACCATTTGAATATAATCTGTTTTAGAAATGATTAAAAAATTTATCACCCGATATAAATTTTAAAATGTTGTATTTAATTACTAATTATCCTTTATAAGGCTGTTTTCTATTATCTACACCACAATTTCTACAAGCAGCTAAATCATGAATAAAACTCACATGCTGTTAAAAGTAATAAAACAATTAAAGCTTACAAACAATTGAATAAGTACTAAGAAATATTTTACTTTTTATTTAATTACATATCCTGTACTGTTTTGCCTTTATAATAGTATCGCAGGTATTGATTACTTGGTAAAGACAAGGTAAGTAAACATTTCGCATAATAAATGTAATAAATATGTAATTGCTTAGCAAAATTTATTATTCGTAAATAAAAATTACGGTTGTGTAGCAATGCGTATGCGAGAATTTAAAACAAACTAATAAAGAAATCACTCACGTAATAGTAATAATATGTTTATCTATTCATAATAATGATCTGATTTCTATAAAAATCTTTAATTAAGACTAATCAATATTCTATATGCCTAATTAATTATATGTAGTTATTAAACTATTATATTTAACACAGTACAATTAGTACAGGAAAATTATTAACGCCGATTAGTTTTGCTGAATGTTAGGTCAATTAAATAAATTTCATATTCTATTTTATTTCGAACAACATTACTCATGCATATTATTATTTAAATATTTCATATACATTTATTTGAATGCGACTTTGTTATATGCTTGCCTTAAATATTAAACTATCGCATTCCTTAAAATACTCTATTTCTCCAAAATTATTACTGTTCAAAATATTATTCTATTCTACTATTGTTCTGTTTCTCCCTATTTTTTTTGAATCTTATGCTTTGTTGTGATTTGGCTTCTCATTTTGAATTCACTCTGATACGTTGATGTTATTTTATCGTGACTGTTACACAAATACCTCTACGTATAGGATTACCTGATAGTTTTAGTGTTTAACGAATTTACTCGTACTACTCGCGAATAAGCGAACAATGAAAGACAAAGCTGTGAGAAATTTGGTCGTAGTGTAAAAAGTAAGTTCATTTATATCGTAAGCGCGGTGATGTATACCGACGCCTTAAGCTGTTTCGTGATTATCTATTCGTGATTGTATACATAAAATGTCTTGAGCTTCGTATGGTCCAGTAAATTTGTGCCGAAATAACATTAACTTACTCGTATATCATTGAGCAACATCCATCTTAATAGATATATTAGATTTATGGTGCATAGCTTTGTACTAAAATACACATTGCAATATGTACTTAACAAACTTGATTTTATTTCAGTGTTCTATAGCGACGAAAGAACACATAAAGTTTTATCATTGTAATACTAAATGCATAATTACATTGCTCATTATTAAATATCGTGAAAAATTAGTATTAATTTTTGGAGTTGCGTGAGGAAACCATACTTCAAATGTTTATGCTTGTGTGGCTTTAATGAGTTATAATGTCGCAGTAATGTTTATATTACAAATAGGCTAGATGAAGTTTTAAACTGCTCGTAGTTCCACCTGTTTCTGTTCCTTTGTTAAGTACCTACTCCAGTCGTCTATTCCAAAATAACAGTCTGTTATATCGCAACAAATTTCAATAGGAACTGTGCCATCTGTCCCTGTTGCAACTGCTCCGTTCCAGTAAGGATTGCTGTGACATGCTTCCGCTGTGATGCTTACCTACTAGCAAATTGCACTTCTGATGATTAAAGATAATTTTGCCCACAAGCCACAAAAAGAAACGTAAGGATACATTGGCAATATTATACAATAGAAATATTTGTGAGTTTCTTTTGCTATCTTTATATTCATTTAAGTTTTCCAATTCAATGGTAAGATTCAAAAAATAGAATATTTGGGTGTATTCGAATGTAACAACAGGATAAGATATAATAGATTCTATCTCTTTTCTCTTCTCTAAGCCTTAATATGGCTGCAACGACTTGGAACAAGATCCAAACAATGGTCGCTCCTGGAACAGGAACAGTTACCTAATTTTAGAGGACAGTTCCAATCTGTTATTTTTAAAAGCCTGTTAATTTTTCATGTTACTCTAAATACGTCTCACTTCTAGATATGCTATGCATGTTAAGACTTATGTACGAGTAAGGTATTATAAATAGATAAAAATTTCACCCATATCTGCGGAGCAATGTTCTTCCTGTTAATATTTCTTATCCTGATTATTAACTACCTATATATTTTAATAGAGGTATTTACATTAATCATAACATAATATTAATGTTTATAATGTATTAAGGCCAATTTGATCCAGTCTGATCCTAAACATTAGTGATACTTTCCTATTAAGTAATACTAACCCTTGTACATATTGTATTGGAGGCCTTCATTCGTGTATTTTATTATTATATAGAAACCTCTTAAATAATTTAAGATCATTAGTATACTTCTCGACCAAATTCTACTTTAAAACCATCGATCACTAGTTAAAAAACTAGATACACAATCAGTGATAAAAAATGTCCTTAGCGAATGAGCGCCCACTGGAACATTTAGGTGCAATGCATTTAATGTTGAATTTACATTAACGTATAGTTATTTTACCTAGAATTACGTTAAAACAATTGGCGACAGTTTTTTATTAGTGATCGACGTTTAAAACTTATTTTGTATAGTGAATATATATCATATAGATTTTTGGAACCCAGACGCTCCATTGTAATGGTAAAATTATTTCAGACTTCAATACAGCTTAGGTACAATAATGAAGTTACTCGGATTATAACAAACCTGAAACATAAAAATTTGTTGGTACCTAAATTTGTTAGTTTAAGTGTTTGTAAAAAATTAGCTTTTCGACATAGCATTTCAATTAATATTAATATACAAATTTCAATAAAAATATCTAACAAAAGAGAGGTAAATTAATAGAATCAGGCGTGATCGCGAAATCCGTTATATTAAAGATGTTTCAAATTTATTAGCATCATTCGGATGTTACCGCGTTTTAATATAAAATTTTGTTAGATACGATTATTGAAAGTTACAAGCAAAATCTAAATTAAGGCATAGTAATTTTACGGTCTCATTACCAAACTTGATCCAACCAACTCTTTTAACTGTTATAGTTTATCGTTGCTGAAGCATATAGTCTGAAACTGAAAAAAAAATCAGAATTTATAATATCAAGTCAGAACTCTATTACACCTCACTACGCTTCAATGAGACCTTACTTTATATGAATTTTGTGTTTCTTCTTTTTTTCTTCCAAATGTGCTTTTTATCATTAATCCAATGAGAATTTATCTGTAATAAATAAATTCAGAACATTCCATTTCAATTAATAAACGCTTCATTCTTTGTTATGTAATATAATTATTTTCATGTGCACATTTGTAATCAATTATTGTCCAACATATTATATGTTTTTTAACATTAGTATTCTGTAAGAACTTTGCTTTGATATACAAAAAAGCAACTGATAACGGAATAGCATTCCAGTCGTCTTTATACTTAAATTTTGTAATAATTTATTAGAATTTCAGCAATTTGTAAGATATATTGAATTAATTCTCATAAATATGTAAAAGTAACGTAACGTTATTGCTCGTTATATTTGCGTCGATTTAATTCTAAAGTATTCGATTAATTTATAGGATAATTAGACGCGTTTTAACATGTAAGTGTTTGAGTTTTGTTGTTGTTAGTTAATTTAATGTTATATATAATTGTTGTTCGAATGTTAGAATTTTACGTTCTTAGAAAATTCAATTTCTTTAATTTTACGTAATACGACATGTGAATATAATATTTCATCTATTTATTTTCTTTGAAAATGTGAGCATTCAGTTATGGTTACTATGTTTTATTTCTATAGTTCATTTACAAATAAATTATTTCACAAATTACAATCAGAAAGCTCTATATTTTTCCCTGTGTCTATAGAAGATCAGGAGTTTAGGATTTTAATGTATAAAAATATATTTAAATATGAATTTCATCACATTTCTTTTTAAAAAGAAATATTAAACTTAATATAAGTCGACTTTCTTTGAATAAGTGATTTCAATTGTATTTTACGATAGTGTTTTCCATTTCAAATTTATATTCGTTAAAGCAATCTCAAAAAAGCACGTCTTTCATTATATAAAATATAATTATTTTTGCACTAAAAGTCACTATTTTAAATAAAGTTATTTCATGAATTACACTGAAGAACAATAAACAAAGAATGAATTAAAGTTTGTGTTTTATTTCTGCTCCAATCTCATATAATATGAATATATCTATATCTCATATCTCATAAAATGCTAAAAAGTAAAGTAAAAGTATATGTGATGTTTTAATTCACTGCTGAGTACAGACCACTTTTTATTTCTCTGACAGGGGATGTGCCTGTTGGCTTTACTCGATTTTATATTTCATGTCGCAGACATGCAGGTTTTCCCGTGAAGTTTTCCT